GCTCCTAATTGGATTAGGAATTGATCTTTTAGGTTAACAAAAGAATGAGGGGGCGATAGCCTTTAGAAGACACACATAATCAGATCCTCTTCAGAGCTGAAATCACAGAAGAAAGAATTAAGCAACCCTGTAGAATTCTTTCTTGCCGCCTCCTTGTTCTTGCCGCCCTGTTTGCCAGTTCGATTTCCAGTTGTGGGAGAAGTCAAGATTCGATCTTGACGTCAGTTCTTTGAGAAAGAATTGATAGGAAGTTGTGCTCACGTGCCATCTTGCTGTTTCTTGCGAAGGACAGAGTTCTTGGAGAAGAACACTGCTGATTCTGCTCCATCCTGCATTGCGCCATTTTTAGTGGGAGCAGTATTTGGATCATTCCTTGGGCGTGAACACCTTCGTTGGGAGATACTATTTCTCCGTATCAGGTATAATCCTCTCATACTCCTTTTGATTCAGATCTGGTTYAGTTTATGGTTCAAGAATGATCATTGAAAATAAGATTTTCTAAACAGGAAATGTGATTACCAGTTGAAGGGAGAGAAAAATTTTTAAAATTCGCCCATTTATTCCACAAGATTTGGGCGTCCATACGATGGATCTCTCATCCCTTCATATGGGACATGGATAATTGAATGCATCTCTAACCTGATTAGTGGAGATACAATGCTTCTGGCCCATTCTCTATCCCCATTTTTGGCTATTTCTTTTCTCCATTTGGTTGCACTAAAACAATTATTACAATTTTCCATGCTCAACCATTGCAAATTGATACTTGACTGTCATGAACCATCACAAACCCATGCTCAACTATCATAAACCAATATCTAACTGTTACAAACCCTATACTTGACTATTAGAAACTGATGTCAACTATCACATTCACAATCGAAAAATATTTCCACTGAGCTACAGCATTACAATTTGTCAAGATAAAATGTGCTTTTAAGTTTTAACTTTCTAAGCCATTTAATCAACTTTTTCTTATTGATAGTATATCAACTAGAAAACCCATAAACATGACACGATTAATTGATCATTTAAATTAATGATATTCTTCATTTAAATCATATTTTAAATCTCCTACCATTTTCCTTGGCATATCCTCGTAGTTCAAAATTCAGATAAACTGTTGAAGCTTTTTTTTCTTTACGTGCATATATGCAAAAATTGCATACCCATAGTTTCTAATAACTGATACTCTTCTTTTATTTTTTATTTTTCAGTTTGATAAATTCAGAAGTATATTAGGTTAGGCATTAATGTTTAAATCTACTAAAAAGCCTAATTCCTGATATTTAGCATTTCACTGGCCCTACAAAACCAATATATCAATACTTTGAACCACGATATTATGTATATATACACCTTATTTTTAGTTTTATTAATGTATTTTTGGGTTTTGTTTGAATTTTTAGAACTTATCCTTATTTTTCAACTGTATCCATGTGTATATTTTGATGTATCTTAATATCATGTTTTTTATGCTTTGTGTTTCTGATTTTTTGTATATTGTTCTCAAAACTCAAGGTGATGCATAGATTCATAGTCATTACATTCAAACACACCACAAATATCCTATATATGAAAAATTCATGCCCAAAAGTCATAGAAATTGTCATTAATACTCAGTTTGGAAGGAGTACAAATGCAAATATGTACAGTGCAAAACCTTATATTTTGTATTGTTTTATATATATTTGTCATGTATATATTTGTATTTGTACTCTTTCCGAACTGAGCCTAAAGTAAAACACCAATTGGTTGGATCCGATATAGGTTTGGCCCAGCCCAAACCCGATTCCAAGCTTTGTCATTTCTCTAATAGATGATGTATTCTAACGACTACAACGTCCATTAACATAAGTATTTGTTACAGCTCTGGACCAACCTGTATATATTCTTTCTGGCTGTTTTTACCCTTTCTTTGATCTTCTCCAACTATGCTCCTTTTTTTTAGTCTTATCACCAGTTCCTACATTCCAAGAGAAAATACATTTTGCTGTTAAAAACTCTCAAAACCAACCAAAGTCTAACTGTTTAGAAGATGATTCTCACCTTTGCTCGGTTGATGGGTCAAAGAAGAAGAAGAAGAAAAAGAATCATCTTTGTCGCTGAAGTCGAAGCCCATGAGATTGGAGATGTGTCAAATTTCGATTAGAGGTCTTGCAACGCCAAATTATGACTATGCTTCACATCAATGAAATCGGAGATGATAGCTCCTCTGCACATATTTGGTTTAGATAGAGAAACAAATATCAAAATCAAATAAACCCAGAGTGATTTCCACCACACGCCTTTCATTTATAATGCATCTGTTATACTTAATCCTTGAACCATCCATCCAATAATACTAAAAACGAACAAAATCGTAACTTTGCTTTTTCTTTTTGGTGCAAACATCTCTAATGAAGGGCAAATGAAAGGACGAAGAAGAAGAATACATAATGTATGATGGAGATCATGGGTGATGAGGAGGGGCATGTTTGGAAAATTTAATCAACAAGTAAGGACATTTTTGTCTTTTACATGAGAGATGACTGGCGACTCTAGTCCTGAGTTCTCGAGAAAAAAAATGAAGTGTTTTGAAGGATATTTTAATAAATATACATCTAGGCTTAAGGGCAAAATAGGCATTTAGAAAAAACAAGCACGTTAAATCGGCTTTTCAACTAACATAGGGGAGGCTTTTATGATTGTCAAAAAACTCAAGGTGGTTTTTATATTTTACCCCAAAACTTAAATAAGGTCAACTTGAACCAAATATGGTAGAGGGTTTATTGCTTTACTCGAGCTCTTTGATAACAGCTAAACTTGCTAAACTGAATGACTTATTAATTTGTCTTTTAGTGGATAAAATAATTAAATAAAAATGAAAGACCGTCTTGTGAAAAATCGAGTGAGCTCAAATCGACAATCATTCATTTGCTTCAACTTCTTTGTAGGGTGTCAACGGTGTTCGAAAATTTGATTTTGAATTCGAGATTTGACATAATCGAATCGAGTTCAGATAATTTAAATATCTAATTGGTCGAATTTGGATATCTTATTCATA